TGAAGTTATAAAATTACTATCCTCAACAACCCTATTACTAAGCACGTATGTAACTTGTAACCTGACACCTGAAAGAAATGTTTCCATAAATACAGCAACCCACAGCAAGAGATACAGGTAGCCAGAGAGTCAAGTAATCAGATAGGATATAGTGAAACAGTCACATGATAGAGTATTTGACATCACCGCCTCTTTTTACCACCTACTCAACCACCCCATTCAAGTTGATCAATTGAAGAAATTTTACCCCAGCCCAAGAAGTTTTAGTTTGCAGACTGTTGATCAAGTAGAAGAGGCCTAAGATGAAAGTTCTCGAATTGTACCAGTGCTCTTATTGTTGTGATAGCTTGCATATAATGCTGTCATCTACTAACTCATGACCTGGCTATAGTTAAGTAGATCATAACACCACAGAATTGGGAAGGTTAAACCAATTGCTGTGACCCTACACAAATCAACTGTTATTGTTTCTACAAGCAGGTATCAGTTGTTTGTCATGATTCCTTTATTTTTCTTATAACGCCTCCTTTCTTTCCAGAAAGTTTCAACCAGCTTCACTTAAGACTTTATCAGATCAAAAACTTAAATATAATATGGGTGGGAAAGATTGACTGCTAGAGTGAGACATTCTGCCAGCACAAGGTTTCAAAAGGGCTTACATTATAAGAAGAAAAATAAAAATGATTTTAAAATTCTGTGCATTAATTTTCCTCAAGTATTTTGTCACACACCCCTTTTACAGTCATTCCTCAAAATTAATAAGTAACTAATAATACTTTAACGGATGGAAGCATTATGGTGATAAGTCAAGGAATAAATTGGATTTCATTTTTAAGTTGTTTTTTAAATGTTCTGAAATGTTTAATTACTTATATGTAAGTATATCAATAAGTTTGCAGCTAAATAATGAAAATATTTTTTTATACAACAAATATTTAATTTTCAACATAATTGCCTTACTTGTCAATACACTTAATTCAGGGGTGAATTATTAATCATATTGAGAAAACATTATACACTGGATTCACATTAGATTTTCTTTTTAATTTAGTATGTTATCAAATGATTAAACATGTGATTAGGATTAAACTACTTGAAGTTGTATTTTATACAGTAATAATAAACTTTGAAATAAATGCAGATTAATTTCTCTTCATAACTTTCAACAATTTCAGAAAATTTAATTTTTGTCAATTCTGCAGAGGTTAGCTCATTTTTAAGACAAAACCTATATTAGTTCAAAACATGGTTCATTGGAAATAATACCATAACACTTTTCTCTATTCGTTACCTGGAGACCCTCTAAGTATGACCTTATGCTTCTTTGTATTTTTCCCCAACCATTGCCAATAATAATAATATTATCACTGAGAAACAGACTTTCAAAACCAATTTGAAAATCTACTTTACTGCTTAATGCATTTTTCTTTAATCTCTCGTACATTCAACAATACTATTCTGTACACTTGTACAAGAGTGTTAAAGTACTTGTCCAATGAAGAAGAGGTTCAAAATAAATTCTGATATGTCAGATTTTGGTAAGTGGGTCTGGCCAAGATCTTTTCAGCACCTGCTCATATATATTATTTTTATAGATAAATATATTTAGCAATCAGCCAATAGCATCTGGTAAATGCTTTTAAACCTTGGATGGGACCTTAGGCTCAATGATCTAACAACCAACTTAAAAAAGCTGTGTCATTTGGCATCAGTTTGGGAATTATTCATGATTGAAGTGTTCACTTATTTAATTTTTGACTTTATGCTGCTAATAGTGTTGTGTGAGCTGGAAATAAACACAAGGTGCATTGAAGACCTAATGTAAAAATTAACAAGATTCCTTGTGTTTCTCTGAATTTGATTTCCAAACTACACCTGACTTTCTTAAAATAAATGTCAGTTTAAATATAATTATTCTAAATTTTATCCTCACCATCTTCCATTGAAATTGCTATCAGATTAGCGAACTGAACTTTACACCTAATTCTGGAACTTTAATCCATCAAACCCTCAGACCTGACAATTACTGATGCAATATCTCTGAACATTTTGGGTAAATTTCACTATTTCAGAATCACAACTGTAACAATAAATTGGCAATAAATAGTAACAAATGGCGAGTACAAAATTGCTTAAATGAACAACCTTATTTTAAGGTCGTGTAATTCTTTTCAGTGACTAAAAGAATTATGTTAAACCTTTAACTTTGGTTCAATAAGTTAATTCTTACATTAAAATACATCCTGAATATGTCATTCCACTGAAGAAAGGATGTTTAGGTCAACAAATGTTCAGTATAAGATTGAATTTTGTGGGTATTCATTGATCTTTAAATTATGTTAGATTTTGTTTGTTTCTAATTTTGTTTAGATTCTCTTGAATATAGCTTTTACTTTAACCATCAGTCATATTAAGTAAAAAGTTTGTCTTTTTCAAAATGTTATAATACAAAGCCCTTTCTGCTAAAATATCACTCCTTTTTTCTTTTTTTCTTTTTTTAAATATCAGAAAGATGAGTAGCAGAGAGAATCATTAATAGACATCAATGACAGGTTCTGATCGTTGATGAACTATTTTAAATGCAAATCATTTGAATTTAGTGACAATTGTGATTTATATTATAATACTTCTCACTCTTGTATATGCATGCACACATATACACACATTTTAATTGCCATTATCAATATCTTTTTAAAAAATAGCATCTAAAACTGTCTATTTTTTCTATTCTCTTGATTTAAAATATTGATTTTTTTTTTTTTTTTTTTTTTTTTTTTTTCACTATTTTAAGTAACTTGACTATAAGCATATAAATTGATCATTATACCTGTAGAATTATTAATTTCAGCAGTAATTACTATGAATTTGTACAAATCTTTGTGTGCATTCTTTTTTTATTATATATTTTTTCCATATTGTGTATTTAATTTTAACTCACAAAAATGAATTTTACAAATGCTTACGTTAGAATTCCTTATTACTATATTTGTCACTTTGATTTATTTTAAAGTAAAACCTGGTGAAACTGATTTTGTTTTTCTTTAATATATAAGTATTATCATAATTGTTACCTACATTCTAATTTTTTTTTCTAACATTACAAAAATAATAATAATAATAATACATTACTAATATCTTTATGCTAATTTTTTGTGGTAACATTAATGTTATATTCCATGCTAATAGGAATATAATATACTCGAAAAACAAGGTGGATAAAATAAGTAGAGGTTCAAAACCAGTAAAATAAGTAGAGTACAAAACCAGTACAATAAGAATAAAGGTAACAGTTGTGCACAAGGTCATTGCAAGTCAATTCAGTAGTGAGTGCTACTATTGGAAGGTTGGTAGTTCTTGCGTAATCTCAGTCATACTCAACAGATCCCAGCTAGTGATATTTACCAACCTCCCCACGGGGTAGGATGTGGCACAAGGCCAAATTTAAAGTGGGGCAATCCGTGCCCATAGGCTCAGCCAAAAATTCCCCGTAAAGCATGCATAAACGGGTTCAGGTCTGTCTACTTCCCCAGACAAGTCTCTGCCCTTCAGCATAACCTTGTCCAGGTTCCTCTCTATCTGAAGGCAGAGAGTTTGACAACAGCTAAGAGCTGAGTAACAGATCCCAGCTAGTCGATATTTACCAGCCTCCCCATGAGGTAGGATGCAGAACAAGGCTGAGTTTAATGTGGGGTAATCCAAGCCTGTAGGCTTGGCAAAAAATTCCTCATAGACAGAGAGTTCAACAATAGCTAAGAGCTGATCAACAGATCCCAGCTAGTATATCTACTAACCTCCCCACGTGGTCAGATGTGGCACAAGGTCAAATTTAATGTGGGGCATCTGAGACTCTGCCTTTCAGCATGGCCTCATCCAGGTTCCTCTCTGCCCAAAGGCAGAGAGTTCGACAGCAGCTAACACCTGAGTAACAGAACACAGCTAGTATATTTAGCCAACCAAGGGTTGCATGTGGCACAAGGCTGGGTGATCCGAGCCTGTAGGCTTGGCCAAAAATATTCCCTTTGGAACCCATATAAATAGGTTCGGGGTCAGTCAACCTCCCCGAATGAGACTCTGCCCTTCAGCGGAGCCTCATCCGGGTTCCTCTCTGCCCGAAGGCAGAGAGTTCGACTGTTTAGCTGGAAAAGATCGCAGGTAGTATATTTAGCTAAAACGAGGGTTGCATGTGGCACAAGGCAGGGTTTAACGTGGGTTCTCCGAGCCCATAGGCTCTGCCAAAAAATATTCCCTTTTGATCCCATATGAACAGGATTCAGGGGCAGTTCACCTCCCTGTACAAGACTCTGCCATTCGGTGGAGCCTCGTCCAGGTTCCTCTCTGCCTAAAGGCAGAGAGTTCGACTGTTTAACTGGAACAGATCACAGCTAGTCCCTGTAGTCTGTTGACTTACAGATACTTATAGGTAGTTACTACCTATAGTGTAGTCATTCATGGGGGTGACAGGTTATTTCATTACATCAATTAACAAAAAATCTCATTTACAAATGAGTTATTTTTTTTACTTTTACTAAAAGGAACACTGCAACATAGAGTAAATTTATTTGCTTATATGAATTGTCTTAATAAAATGCCTATTGGTTACATGTGAGCACCCATTTTTTTTTCTTTAACCTTCAGATAATTTCTTACCAGATCATATAATGTATCTTTTTAAAGAAATTAGTGAAGCAAATAATGTTAATGAACATTAAATACCATATACAATTTGATGTAATCCTGTAAAGTATTGGACAGGAACATCTCTTATCTTTAAAGAACCTCTGTGATAACTATAAATAAACTTAAAAATAACCTTAAATTATGGATGCTAGTAATAGGTACTTGTTAGATAGACTTACTATCTTTTTTATTATCATAAGTGATTTAATTTGCCTACAGATATTTTCTTCAATAAATATGCATCTATGAACTTAATAATTATCTATGTTTCAAAGATACATAATGTAATATTTTGTAATTGTATTGATTTGGTTTTGTTTCAGAACATGTCTCCCTTCTCTGAAGGAGCAGTGTCGAATGGCCAGAAATTGGACCAAAGGAATAAATCGGGAAATCACTATAGTAAGACATCACAGCAGGTGAATAGATATTAAATCCCTATACCTTCTTGATATTTGTTTTCTCAGTATGTGACCTTTTTATCCTTTGTAAAAATTCTTACTTTTAATCTCTCCATAAATTCCACCAATCAGCCTGATGTTAACTTTCAGATCTGCAAAAAGTGTACATAATTGTGTGTCTCTGTATTATCACTCTCTCTATTTATTTTTATATATATATATATATAATCAGTAGTATGGGTTTCCAATAGTGCTGTATTCTGGGAACAGTACCCCATGGATACCAAGAATTAGGTAGATGGAACTGTTAGAAAGCTGTTGATGGTTGTGCTAGCATAAAGCCACAAGTCATACTGGCCTTATTCAAACTGTTGATCATGCTCTCTTCCAGAAACTGTAACTAAGATCTGCTCAGCACAGAGCATAGTTGCAGTATAATCCACGTGTGGGTGTTGAACAAACACAAAATGTTCCTGAATAGATGTCTGAAAAAGGATTTGCCTAGCACCCAGGTGTGCTTGGTAATGAGTAATGACCATTTTTATATATATATATATATATATATATATATATATATATATATATATATATATATATAAGAAATAATCATACATAGAATCAATTAGCAATATTAATGCAATTAATGGCGAAATCACTTCACTAGCAGAACATAATGTATGCATTAAAATACTGTTAATCCATTGAATGATGTGATCCTCATTTATAAAACTGTTGTCAGATGTTTCTAGTGTATATTTTTTTAAGTTAAGCAAGTACTTTCGAAGATCCATGTCTTCATCATCAGGCTGTAATTTTTTTCCTTTAAATTTAAAACTAGAAGACGAAATAATTGTTTGTAGACCGAAAGATGTTTTTTAAGAATGTGCTATTTATTGACGGTTGTACAATCTCGGAACGTGCGAGTCGCAATGCTAAAGATCAAAATTTCAAGTGAGAATTTTTATATGAATTTTGTAATATAGTAAATCCACAAATTCTTTTTTTAGGATCACATCATTCAATGGATTGACAGTATTTTAATGCATACATTATGTTCTACTAGCAAAATGATTTCACCATTAATCGCATTAATATTGCCGATTGATTCTATGTATGATTATTTCTTTATATATAAAATATATGCTGCCTTATATATATATATATATATATATATATATATATATATATATATATATAATGGATTTATCTTTAATATGACCTTTTATTATTTCAAATATGGACACTTCATATTTGAAATAGGCAACCAATTTTTATTAAACTGTATTTATTGTCAAGAAATCTTAGTAAAGAAAAAAAAAATGTGTTCTCCACACAGATCAAACCTGCTGTAGAACACCATTTCTTTACAAAGATTTCTCCAAGGTACAGGCCAATAGACATAATACACACTGTTTAATAAAAAGTGGGGTGTCTATTTCAAATACGAAGTGTCCACTATAATAACATTTGAAGTAATAAATAATATATATATATATATATATATATATATATATATATATATATATATATATATATATATATATATATATATACCCTACAATGTAGCAAGTTGAATAGTTTATCAAATCATTTTGAGAATAAGTCAAAATCTTTTTAGATCTTACAATATTTCTCCAGCAAGTTTAATTCAATAGTATCTCTAGAAATTGATTCCATTTTATAAATGACATTGTTTCAGATATCTATTTTGACTTTGTAAAAAGTTAAACATTCTTATTTTTTGGTGTAGGTGAAAATAGCACTTGATTCTTCATTACTCTTTTTACTTAAATGCCTAAAACTTGGAAATTTATTGCTAGTGAGAAATGTCATTTTGTTATTGAATTTATACTCATGATCAATCTCCAGATTAATTCGTTACAATATTATGTCAATTATGTCAATTCTATCATGATATAAATTGAATTATAATAAATTTTATCTTTATACTCTTGGAATTAAGAAATTCTATTTTAGAATACTCAAAATAAAATGCTTTATTTCTAGATGTTTATTTTTTAAAATACTTTTACAGTCAATATATATTGGGTTGCTTAACTTTACATTTGCTATTATAGTAAGAGTGCAAAATTAATGAGAGAATTATTTGAAAAGTGTGTGCAAAATATTTGTCTTTTAAGATTATTAATGTACTCACTGACATTGTCGGTCCAATAAAATCATGCAAAGCAAATTTAAACCCATAAATCTGGACAAATGGATTAAAACTTAACAGAAAAAAATATCTGTGGGTTTTTTTTGGTTTTTTTTTGGTTTTTTTTGTTTTTATTATTTTTATTGATTTATACAAATAATCCTGATAATGTTTGCTTGATTTAATTCATGAAAATGATACTTTTATATTTACCATTGCAGGCAACTTCCCTGGATGCAGTATGATCAGATTCACCCTAAAACTATGTGGGTATCCACTGGCGAGTACATCAACTGTTATAAAGTTCTTGCTAATGGGTTGTTTCAAGAGGATAAAAGAAGAAAACTTGGTCCTCTTCATAGAGATGTGACAAGATTTGTGGTGAAGGACTCTTTAGTTGTCAGTGGTTGCAGGTAAGTAAAACTATTTTGAATATACATTTGTTTGTAGATTATAACAATTACTCTTGTTAATTGAGGTTTTGGGGGTCTAACTTTTGCCTGCAATATATATATATATATATATATATATATATATATAACATAGACACAAGACGATTTTTAATGTACTTTCCATATGTTTTAAAAGAAAATGATATATCAGTGAAATGTTAAAAAAAATCCTCCAAATGTATGAAAAATAAATAGCCAAAAATACCTACACTATTTACATCGTTCAGACTGTTGTCCTCATTTTTATTGCCATATTCATGTTTTGCTTGTTGTACATTCCAGACTTCTTCAGGTTATATATGTTAGAATTTCAAACCAAATCCTTTATTTATTATATAGTTACAATATCTCATCTCAAAATTATAGACAGATGCCAATAAAGACATTTAACTGAAAAATAGAGACCCAGATATGAGTGTTGGAAAAATTTCCAACTAATTTTTCTTAATGATAGCAATGCAAAAAAAAAAATGGCTTTTAAATATCTGCCACATTTGGTTGTGATAGTGCGCTTGTCTTGTAAAATGTTAATGAGTTAATTCTTTACTGAATCTAGGTTTTTGCCAATGTATAACTGTAAATGTTTTAATGATATAGCAGAAAAAAGTATTATAATCTATTGCCATAATAGTACAGTATAAAATATTCTTTTTTTTACATTTTGCATATTTTTAATATCGAAAGAGAAAGAAATGGAAAAAATAGATGATGGAAAGTAGGAATGAGAAAAATAATGGTAGGAAATGAAGACTACAGAAGTTTAAACAGATATGAAGGAAAATAGAAAAAAAATTTTATTTTTTGTTTGTTTGTTTGTTTGTAAATATTATGTTTTCATTCTTTAGGGAAGGAAGCTTGTTTGGCTGGCATAGTGATACAGGGAAAACACTCTTCTGTTATGTCAATGTTCACACTGAAGATACCCAATGTGTAGACTTTCATCATAACCTGATGGTGTCAGGATCTAGAGATGCCACTCTAAAGGTATGTTCTCTGTAAGATTAAAAAAAATATGTAAAAAAAAAAATATCACTTGACTTGGTATATTATCAAGGCTTTGTGCAACTCTTCTTGAAAATGTAGGAAAGATTTAAAACTATGAACAAAGTTTCACAAATGCACCTTTTTGTAATGTTTTTAACAATTTAGAATCTTATAATCTGAGTTTCTTTTTGAACAAATAGATGTTGAATGTTATAAAGCATCAAAGAAAACTATGGTAGAGTAGTGGAAAATGACCAACTTTATTATCTGAAACTGAATTAAATATTTATTACTACTACAACATCAACAACAGTGTTTTTCATGTTCTTAAACCTTTCTTGGATATCTATCACTTTTGTCAATCCTTATGTATTATTATGTATGTGTATGAGAAATACACAAACCAAAAAAAGTAACAAAAACAGTATTCTCACAAATATAAAACCAACTTGTGTACATCTTCAATTGTCTAGCATTTGCACTAGTACTTTACTTTTCAACTGTCTATATTATTCCTTTATTTTTAACTTTTTTTTTTTTCATTAAATAAAATCATTTGTGAAGACTGGTTGATTTCATCTTGATTTAATGAGTTTTCCATAATTTTTAGATTTTAAGTATGGATGAGCAATATAACAGCAATCAACCCAGAGCCACACTGCGAGCAGAGGACAGAGTTTGGTCTGTTGCAATGGCGCCAGATGGCAGGTAAGTATTGATGCTTTCATTCAAAACCTCTTATGGTTGTTTAAAGCATCTTTCAAAACAATTTTGTCATTTCTTCCTCTTCTTCAGAGTATTAGTTTTATTTATGTAAGGGAGGGAACTATGGTATTTTTGATATAATGATGAAGAGTTACCTCCTATGGATTATCATATACATACGTAAAACAGACGAAAGGTTCTTGAGAGTGCAGTTATCGTTACTTGCCAAAAATGTAAAGTTACGTCCTAGATTTATTTCAAATATCTCATTTCTTAAAAGAAATCCTCCTTTTCCAAGCCAACATACATGACCATAAAAATAAAAGAAACGGTTAAATCAATACTTTTAAATATTTAAATAAATACATAATTTATTAAATGATAAACAATTAAAAAATATATAAATAAATAAAAATGGAACCAAATTTACTCACTTTAGTTTATTAGACAATGAATTACATCCCTTAGCATCCTCCATAGTTTACCTTTCCTTACACAGTCAACTTTAAGAATATTTTAGAACTTTCTTAAAATTTGAAAATTTATTGATATTTTTCTTCCACTTCCATTTATAAATACAAGTTGCAAAATAAAATCTCTACTTTTGCTTCATTAGACTAGAAGATGAAATGCATTACACAGAACTTTTTCCAATTTGTCATTCATTTGCCTAACATTATTCTGTTATATATAGAAATTTATATATTTTCTCATCAAAGACTGTTTGCCTAGGAAGTATTATCCCTGTTGATTGCATTTTGTTTGCAAAATGAACCTTATTTTTATATACATTCTGTTCTGCTTCTTAGTTCATGTCAGTCTTGCACACATGCATACCTCAAACAACTAGATAAACTATTTATGGCTATGAAAACTCTAAAGACAGTCCTGTTCATCAGCAGCTTTACTTAAAGCCAAATTGAGTGAAGCAGCAATGTTATTGTGGGTGGGTAGATTTAGGATGGTAAGAAAGTATGAAACGTGTGCTTTAGTGTGCTAGTTCCAGTTACTAGGGAGTAAACAGGAATTGGTTAAAAATGGTGGCTAAAGTAAAATGAGCCTAAATTAAAAAGGGAATGAACAACGGGGAATATAAAGCAATAGAGGTTTTGTGCTGTGGTAACAGAACACATTCAGTAGATCAATAAATGTTCAAAGGACTTGTGTGTGTGTGTGTGTGTGTGTGTGTGTATATATAATATACATACATACACACACCTCATGTTTTTTTTTTGTTTTTTTTTAATTTGCTTATTTCATCCTCTTACAGCACATTTGCATCTGGGAGTGCAGGTTGCAATGGCAGTTATCCTTTAATCATCTGGGACCTGTGCAAGTGAGTATCACATTGTGTACATGCTTCAGTCATATGCATTTGTCCAAAATCAGTCATTTGTAGCATTTTTAAGTGAATTTTATAGGCAATATATAGGTATTTGTTCATAGATTTATTCAACCACATATGTGCTATTTTGTTCCATTTTTGCTTTTTCTTTCCTCTAAAAACTTGGCACCTGGATGATAAATTGGTTTATACAAGGTTTTCGGACAACTGAACTTTTTTACATTAAAATAATTTTATATGCCTCAATATAGGTGGTAATTCAAAAGTGCAGGGTCATGTAAATTCAGTGAGTATCATAGGGTATCCAAGCCAATCTACCAGTTCTGCAAATAGATTTGGGGTCTGGCATTTTCCTCATGGAAAAACAACACCCTTCTGATTGGCCATTTCCTGATGCTTTTCATAAAGTGCTGCATTTTATCAGCCCAACTGAGAATGGCACTTGTCTGATTTTGCAAGAGTTCATAATATACAATGCTCTTCCAACCCCATCAAATGTATATTATTACCTGCTTTGGATGCAAACTGTCTTTTAGAGTGGTTAATGGTGGCTCATTTCATTTTCCTCTGGAGCTTTTTCATTCCATTTTGCAAATAATCCATCTTTCATCATAAGTAATCATTCTTCTCAAAATGGGTTGGTTTTGTTGCATTTAAGCAGTGAATCATAGATGGAAATGTAACCCATTAAATTTATTTTTTATTCTGTTAAATCATGAGGCACCCAAATATAGCAATTCATGTATCCAAGTGTTTTTAAATATCTTACAATGATCATGAGATATGTAAAGTATCTATTCAATGTCCTGTATTGTGTAATCTGGATTATTTTTAATCATTTCAATTTGGTTATCAATGATTGTAGGCCTACTGGAAATTTCTGCTTATGAACCTAGCAAACCATTTCGGTTCTCTCAGCTATGGTGCAATTTTTTTTTTTTTTGTACTGTTTGTACCATTCCGGAAATAAAACAGCATATATAAAAGTTCCTCATTTTCCCTTTTAACATCACACATTAGATGTATAGTAAGACATGTTGGAATGTCACCTTTCAAAATATGTACATGTCATAAATCCAAGTGACAAATGAAAGAAAATCATGTGTTCAGACACCACCTATTGAGAAATACTACAAACCTTCAATAAAATTCATAAATCTGGTAGTCAAAACATTACTTGATGACAATTTGGAAAGAGTGAATTGAGTAAACCTGGGATTGAAAGGAGAGAAATATAACCAGAGACACTGAGAACCACTGATCTAGACTTTGATATGATAACCATACAACCCTGTTTATTTCATAATGATATAACTGTTAAAATATTTTCAAATATAATTTTCTTTTCTAAAAAGAAAACTATTAAGCATTAATATTCAATGTGTAAAATATTTTTCTTGTCTGTTTCACTGCAGTTTATCAAATTGATGATTAATTTCTTGCTTTCCATTCAGATTATACTCTTATATAAAACTTAAAAAGTTTCTTTATTGTAGAAATATAATTTAGTTATAGCATAAGTTAATTTGTAGTATTTTTCTTTAGAAACAATTGTTTCACATATTAAGGCTTCTAGTTATTTTGCAAAATTATTCAAATTGAATTGGCAGCTTGCAATGTAGTTGGTGAGCTTGAGGTATTGACAGCCATAAGAAGGTAGCCATTGTTGTCAAGAGTTTTTTTTTTTTTCTATCTATCGAGAGACAGCATTGACAGTGCTTCATTTCAGTTAAATAAGATGCTGCCCAGATTAGGATTCTTACTACCAAAAATCTGTCTGCATTGATTACATACTCATAATCAAGTGATAATTTAAATAAAAATGGAAATAGAATTATTCTATGTCAACACAATTATTTTTCTATATCTGTGTATTTTTAAAATAAAGCTATCATATTCTTTGTTGTACATTATTTCAAATCAGAAGTCACACAATTGATTACAAAAGCAAATCTGCACCAATAATAGTCTGACAACATAAATTTTATGGCACTTGATTTTGTTGTCAGCTTTACCAACTGGTATCTTTTCATTTTCTTCCCTGCCACATCTGACCTATTGCTATTGTTAACCCTATAAAATATACCTACTTTTATCTTTTGTGATCTGATGAATATTTATGAAGTTGGCTTTCAACATATACTTTTTTATACATATACATTTTATTTATTTTTTTAATACACCCAACATGTCAATGTTTTTGCTGCTGACTGGTAAGTATTCTATGTCCTATGTTCCTGTAACACAAGCAGCAATAAAGCAATCAATGTTTTGTAATCAATTTATCAACCCTTCCACTTATTTCCATGCAATCTTTATTTCAAGAAATCTTTTATTCTTTTCATGTAGGGGTGTGATGGACTGTAGCTTGGGTCAGGACCACAGACGAGGTGCTGGTATCTTGGACTTAAAATATGAAGCTCCAGATATTCTCCTTTCATGTGGCTATGATTCCTATCTTCGGCTTTGGGATTTACGCACAGAAAAATGGTTAGTTGTTATTATATTTTGCACTTTTTTTTTTTTTTTTTAAACATTGTAGATTTCATTCTAAAAAGTTTATAAAGAAGAATTTTTGAAATTATTAAGCTTAAGTCTGTTTTTAAAATAGATTTTATTTGTGAAATCAATCTCTATTGGTGTTATAGTTTTCTATTTTCAATTTTTACCCTCACACCAATCAGTAAAATTTATAAAATGCGATATTTTTATTATCTACCATAAAGTTATTGTCTTTGAATGATAGCTCAGATATGTTTGGAAAGGATTTTTCTGTTGTCATCATGTTCACTCATATTGAGCAGAAACGGTAAATAAAAATATTAGTAATATGGAATAATTGAAATACAAAATTAAAAAGATAAACCAATGAGAAACAAAAATCCTAAATATTTGAACAAGTAGTGGCATCAGAAATGAATGGTTAAATCAGGCAGTGTTTGTGTATAAAGGTGAAAATAAACTAAATCATGTTGGCATGGGTGGATTAGAAAAGGACCCATGTGTAACACAAAATTCATAGCTCTTAAAGTAGAAATGTTAAACAAATGAGTGATATTGGTTTATTTGTATTATTGATAAATACTTGCTTTCCAATCTTGCTTACTGTGGTGAATGCGCATCAGTACAGATGCAAAATAGGCCCCGGATGTTTTTTGTCAATACTAGTTATATTCAGGTTTTCTCTGATAGCAGCCGGACAGCTTGGCATGTCTAGATACAGGCATCTCTGCAACTGGTCAAGATCTGGGTCTTTGTAAGATGCCTCATGCCAATAAAAGTAATGGTGGGAAAGCCAAGCAGTTGGCAAGACATAGTGTCTTGTGAAGTCGGTTCTGTGGGCATTTTGTTCCTAAAGTTACTGTGGTTTCCAATACATTGTTATCTTTGTTAGCTCCCGTGTGTTTCCTCCAATCTCAACACACTCTTGCCGTACATTACAACACTTACATATATTTATTTTAATTTTTATTTTCCTTTTTGAAATTTTCATCTTGGTAGGCTTGGATCACAGATATTTGTTTTAAAGATAATGCAACCCTGGCATTCCTTGTCAATGTTTCAGACTTGGTTATTGCTGTATATCTTCCTGTATTTATTCTGTATTTGTAAAATCAACCTATTGCAAGAACATTCAAATGCTCTGACATTTTAATAATGTTTTCTATAATTTGTTTGGGATTAGTTTCTGTTATAAAGTTGACAAAATTAATACTAAAATTTTATGAAATCATGTTGGTATTTTTTAAAAATCATTTATTGCATTTTATTTTTTTAGTGAGATGATGTGGGAAGAACCTTTTGATTCAGCTGTTTACTGTGTGAAGACAGATGGGGATTGTGCTATGTTGACAGGCACTGCCAGGCATGGGATGACAAGACTGTGGGATAAGAGAGCCACAAAACCTGTGCAAGTAAGATCAACTAGTCTGTTCAAATTATTAGTATATTGCCATGAGATTGTTTTGGTTAGACCTTGTCTTTTATAAGATTATAAGTGTCATTAGTTATTTTAATGTTCTCAAAAAAACAGAATATTAAGCTGTTAAACACTTGATACCAGTTTATCTGTACAGTGTTCTGGTGTATAAACACTGGTAACCTGTACGTCAATTTTAGAGTCTATAAAATATTTTGAAACATACATAATAGTACTACTGCTCTGTAGTGTTAGGAATAGTGTAAATCTAATGATTACACCCTTTATTTACATATTTTTGCAAATGATTGAAAATGTTTGTTTGTACAAAGATGGATTTAGACACTGATCCAGTTCTGCCAGATGTAGATATTGCCACTGTTATTTTTATATAAAACAAGAACCTACCTATTAGTTAAACTGTTATACCATAAATAATTATACAGCCAAAAATGTAAGTACAATCCTCATTATCATGTCCCTCAACTGCTTCAATCATTGGGGCGACTGCTGTCCGCTCTTTCTCTAAATGTATAGATTGTGTGAATGTTCCACGTTCCAATGGTTGTACCATACGTTGGTACCTTGATGGTGTTTGTCACTTCAGTCACTCACTTGTTATGCCTTGGAGTTAGTCAATTGGACATGCAGTCATTGTTGATCCAGCCTCAACTGATCCTGCATGGTGTTGCTTTGATTCTTCTTTCTCATATGTTCCTTTGTGGGCTTTCATCTCCTCTCCAAGTAGAATAAGGCTGTTAATATAAGCAACTCTGTACTAACCATCTGTTGCTCCTCATTGCTGATTTAGTCTATTATACAGGTAGTTTTGAAATACTTAAATTTACAATTTCTTGTGATAGTGTATTGGCAAATGGTCATACCAGTGTTGAACAAGTAATTCTTACAGGTACGACATTACCCTTCATTCCTTGATATTGTTGCTTCTATATAATAAATCAATTTTTTTATCTTTTCCTCCATATCCATTTGCTTCATCTGCTAAATGCTTTAATATCCTGCCTTATAAATACAACTGAGAAGGTTGGAACTGATTCTTTTTTTTTATCTCAGCTTGTTTTTACAGCACTTGCAGTATCACATTTTTTTTTATCAATTCTTAAATATTCCTTCTATCCATATAATATAAGTGACCAGCAATGAGCTGATTATCTATAGCAGTGGTTGCCAAACAGTGTGGCACACATCATGTATGGCAGAAAAGGATAGCAGGTGAGGCAGAATGATTGAAAGACAATCAAAGATTCAGAAACAGTTTTTAAAAATTCATATGCTAAAAATAAATATAATTTCAAAATTCAAATTATTATTATGGATTACTTGTAATTCCATGCATAAGTCCCAGTATAAATAGTTATTGACCGATTTTATTATTGTGATATTTTTGTATTATATCAAGTATTAAGAATATAGTAACTAGGGTCTGCAAATTGGAGGAGAGAGTTATCAATGATAATATTCTGACTTCAAATCTGTGGCTATCTCCCTTTAACCCTCTCTTTGATTTTTATTTTTAAATGTACTTTTTATCATAAAATTTGAGGCATGAGCAAATTTTACTTCTGAAAATGTGGCCCAGAGAAAAAAAGGTTTGGGAATCACTGATCTATAGAATCTATTTAGTGGCTGAGATCGTAGCTGTCTCTGGTGTTAGTAGTTTTTTAAGTTCAAATGAAAGCTAGGATTTTAAATGCTAACTGAAGTCAGCTAAAAAATAACTTTTTTTTTAAATATTAGTCATATATAATTTAACTACCATTATATTTATTGCAATGTTTGCAACATTTTCTTATTGAAGAAGAAAATATTACTGTATACAATACAGTGATTGTGATGTGCCATTTCCTTGTTTCTCAGATTGTGTGATATTTCACTTGTCTCTCTATTCTGAATCAACAATATAAACTGCATATTAATTCAATCTTCAAATAACCTTATAACTATTAGAAAGAAGACTCTGAAATTATTCTAAATTCAAAATTTATTTTCATCCAATATATACAAATGGAGATATTTGAAAATTTTTATTAAGTTGTTAAAAAAAATTATTATGTAAAAAAAAAAAAAAAAAAAAAAATCATCAATGTTGGAAATTATTAAAGGTTTACTTAGACAAAAAAATAGAAAAATATTCTATAATGTAAATATAGCGTTATATCCAAAATTTCAATGCAATTTACAGGTTTTTAATAATTCTCTTTTTCTTTCTTTTTCTTTTTTACCCTCTAGAAAAAAAAATTTGAGTCAATATTATTCCTTAAATCAGAAAAGTTTTAAAACTAAAAAGTAAATGAAATATTGCCTTGTTTTATAACTTTAGTATTTTATTTATTAAATTACATTGTAAAAAGCAAAAATATTCATGCTTGAATTGATTTTTTTTTTTTTTTTTTTTTTAAATAAACATTTAAATAGTTCAAAATTCTGTTATTATTTCTGTTCTTGATTGTATCTTACAGAATTGTTTTAATAATTGAGAAATAAAATGATTCAATCATCCAATGTGATTTTTATAGATATTTTTCTTAATTAGAAGATATGAATTTAGCATGTATGGATGCACTGTTACGTAATAACCTGATCATTTTTATTTTATTAAGATACCAAGATAATATTAAATAAGCTGTAAATTCACTTGTATGTATGCTCTGAATATCTTTGAAATAAATTGAGAAATTAAATTTGTTTTATGACTTGACTATTTTAGGTGTGAGTAAATCTGGGTTTCAATATCTACAAAAAATATAGATATTAGTGTTTCTGATGTGATATTTAAATTTAACTTGTAATGCTTGAGTTTATGCTTTCTTTTATATTTTTCAGTTGTATTATGCAGGACATCGAAGCAGTCCTGTGTATTCATTGGCCTTTGACTGTTCCCACCTTTATTTGGCCTTGGACATCAGTATCAGCATGTTAGATTTTTCCATCTACAGGTAGTCTGCATCAATAGGTACACAAAAAAAAAAACTGCTAACATCATAATTTAATGGGGGACATTTTTATGGTAAATTTTTAATATTTTAACTCAAAATATGTAATTAAAAATCTTAATATGATACAAAGTATATAGTGTATAATTTAAATATAAGTTAAGAGATTATTTGGAATTAAATTTTACTCTCATTCTGTTTTGCCATTAATATTGTACAGTTTGAATCAAATTTGGGTATATTTTTAATTACTGTTTCAATTGCTCATAAATAGTTACTTCAGGAAAGCCCTGTTTTATTTAAAGAGAACTATTTTTTAATTGTATTATTTCTTTAAAAATTTTCTTATTTTGAAGGAATAGTTTCATTTGATAAAAGATATATATATAATAAACACTTTACTAGAACATTTTCTATCTTTAACTGAAATATGATTTTTTCCATTCATTAAAAATGAATTCTGTATAAAATTTTTGGGCACAGGGTTCTTTTTTTTTTTTTTTTTTTCTTTTTTTTCTTAACACTAATCACAAGAAATAAAGTTACAATAATAACTTAATGCATTTTGATGCCCTACTGGTCATCATAAATTGATCATTTTGTAAATATGGGTGTGCATTTTTATTAATCATAAGTTATATTCTTTACAAAAGGTGAATTGGATACTTTGTAAATTTTTTTTTCTTAAATTGTAGATATGAACAGGTGGATTTTTTTTTTTTTTTTTTTTTTTTTATAAAATTCCACCAAAGATCTGTTTGTTAATATTAAAGTTGCAATTTTCTCTTCAGTGAGAATATATTAGATGAAATGTAAGAGTTCACCTCTGTTTAAAGGTGTTTATTTTTATTTAGATAAGGCAAACCAATTGATGATCTATTCTGGAGACAGGAGACAGCTCTTTTTTTTTTTTTTTTTTTTTTTTTTTTAGAATTCATGTATAATTAAATTTTCTGATTTTTATCTCAGAGTATCATTTTTATAAAAATGCTACAAATTTTATTACTATGAACAGATAATTCAGTCTTAATAATTTTAAAAAATGTATGCAATCCTTTTTATTTTATTTTATTTTATTTGATATATTTCATAACCCCTTTTCTTGTAACACCTGAATATCTTTTGAAACTCTTAGTCTAAGATGAAAAGCTTGATTTTTTTTGATTTTTTTTTTTTTTTTTAATTAAGTAAACATTATACATTTTATGTGTTTTATCTTTACTTTTAGTAACACTTTTTGTGGAAAGTTGTAGCATTTGTTAATTACCTTAAAAGGATTTGTGGCTGAAAAGACATCTAAATGTAAAATATCTGTAAAGTATGATACACCTATTAACAGATTAATCTTTGTAAATGCTAATATACAAGCTTATTTTCTTTTTTTGATGTGATATGCAAAGAGATTACTGTCTGTCCTGAGAATATTAAAATAACTTTGGTGACCCTAATAAAAATTCTATCATTTCTCTTTAAGGATAAAATCTTGTTAATGCATTCTTTTACATAGTTCACAATACTGTAAAAATTGTATCTCTTGTATATTATCAACAATCTATTCTATTTGGCAGCATGTTTTATTAGCAGATTTTGTTTATTTGCCATTGAATTGTAAAATTTATTTCCTGCCTTACTATTTAGAACTGGATTGCATAACAATTAAGACAGTTTACAAATATAAAATGTCCACATTCATGAATTTACTTGTATCTATCCTTTCTAAAGAAAAAAAAATGCTAATAGTTAAAGTAGATCTCTAGAAGTACACTAAGGTTTTAATTTAAGCCTCTATAATAAGGGAAGCATTATCTCAGATTTCTTTCATGTTAATTTTTTTTACTTAATATGTTTTCCATTATTGAATGTTTGATGTGCATAAGCTTGTATTTGCATTTTTAACTTCATAACAAATTTAAACATCTGAGCCACTTGGTGATTTTTGAAAACTTGCAGCTGTGCTAAATTTCAAATATAAATTTATTAGAAGGTATGAATATTGAGAAATAGACAAAGCAACAATATACAAGTGGACTGTAGAGATTGGAAATAAATACAACTACATAAACTGTATATATCAATTCATGTATAAAAAAAAATATCTAAATGATTGGTTAAGCAATCTGATAAGAAAATAGTGTCTCTGCTTACTGGGAAAGATAACATTAGCAAGCTGATTATTTGCAATAGTTCAAATAATATCAGATTTGTGATTTCATCTGTAAAAACAAATATGCTCTTCTTTTGATGTGGACTCCAAATATCTTTTCTTCATATTTGCCTTATTTATGGTTAAATCTTATCATTAAACATGTTCAAAGGTATGGGTTCATTCAGGTTTTATGAATTTAGTTTCTATTTTGGTTGTTTAATAATTACCAATAGCTGGTGGTATTTGGCAACTTTCTCTCATATCTATCATAAATGCTGATATTTTTATCTTTTTAAATTTAATGGATTTTACTGCTTCTTCTGGATGAATTTGTTTGCTTGTGTTGGTATGTTTCAGATGTCAGTGTGTGTATTGTTATTTTTAATGTAGGTGATGTGGTGGGTGGGTAATCAATTAATAAAATTGTGTTATGAGTAAAAAAGAGAATAGGAACTAATAATTTTGATGTTGCTGATTGCTGTCACCTTGAATACTTTTGCTCCTCTCTCTTGTTAATGTGATATGGAACAGAATCAAAAAGAAAGCTGATCAGGTGTAGTTAATCACTGCAGTCCCACCATAAAAAAAAATTATTCAATTTTTTTTACTCTTTTTAGTGCACTTAGAAAAATTGGATTGGTTAGTTATTTAATTCTGTACTTACAATGGATAAAAACACCTTGGGGGATTCTGGAATTTATTTTTTATGCTTGTTAAGGGTAATTATTTTAATACTATTTTGATCCATATGATAGATGAAGGGTGTTTGTTGCTTCTTCTTTGTTCTTTGTAAAAGCTATACAGATCTTCATTAAGGAATTTTTTTCTCTAAGATATATGTTGCTTTTTTCTTTTTCTTTTTTTTTGATTCTATAGTTTTTTCTATTTTAAGGTATAAAACAAATTGTTGTTGCAAAGATAAAACCTTTTTAACATCTTGTTTGTAATTAAAAAGCTTAATATGATCCAATTAATAATACTGACAGAAGTATGCAGGCTGCCTAGCAATTCAATTTTCTTTACTGCTCCTGAAAAACAATGCTGTTCATTCATTTAAAATCTTGCTCTAACATGTTTAACTGCTGTACATTCACAAGTATTCACTGAACACTGTATGTGTCTTCAAACACACACCTACACATGTAATACTGAACCTGTACATACAGATACTTTTACATAGGCCTAAGCTTTTTATAAGCACACATAACCTTTATTGTAAAAAGTTGAATGATTTGTTTTCCATTTGATGCACACACCTGTTCAAATATTCAAGTCTGAAAAAAACGTTTTTTAATGTCATACTCTGAACAGATAATCATTTTGACAATGATGTGAGTAAACATTGGAACCTTAACAAGGGTTAATTTTGTTAATTGATTATTTACAGGCATGTTTTTCAGCTATTTTTCACCTTTTGTCTTAAATTGTCTGATTGATACTTGAGATATATTTTCATACTCCTTTATCTGGCCTTAGGATGAAATTTTTGTCCAAAGCAAATATCCACAATGCTAATGACATGGCATGTCTAGCTTGAATTTCCTAAATCCATCCTTTCTTTGAAAAACCCGGTTGAAACTGTCTTATTTGATGCTGCTGTTATCAACCTTAGGGCAGCAAGGAAATTTCAAACTTACTTGGTCTCTGTACTGTGGACACATCCCTCACTTTCCCTATCATACACACACACACACACACACACACACACACACATTCACTTCTTGCTTAAATAAAGGATTGAACAATCTACAGTTGTTATTTATATTAAAAAGGAGGAAAAATAAAATGCTTCTAATTTTTGTTGTTCTTTATGCCTTCTTATATGAAAATTATGAAATTTCATCATTTTTACATGGATAAATAAGCAGTTTATGAATATACAATCAGTATATTTAATTCATAGTTTCTCGCTTTCACTCTCACTCTTTTTTTTTTTTTTTTTTTTTCTTTTAATTCAAAAGAAAAATAAAATAAAACTATAATTTATTACTGTTAGCCTATAAGACTTTACTCCTGATTATTTTTTTGTGTTTGGGGTAGAATTAGGGCTTAAAAAATAACATTAATAAAATGTGGGTGCTTAAACTGCAGTGGAGTAAAAGGCATGTTAAGTCATGTTTTCAAATTTTCTATATTGCCATTTCATTGCAAACAGTATGAATGCTATAATATAGGTACCACCAAAAAACAAAACAAAAACAAATGATACCTAAGGTTTAAAAATGAAAAAATTTTCTTGTTTGTTTTTTTTTTATTTTTTTTGTTTTTTTTTTTAGTTTTAATTTAAAGTTAATAGATTAAATTTTACTATACCCAATAAGCAAAATAATTTGCTGTACTTCAAAAATTAATTTAAAATGACTGGAAAGAGTTTTTTTTTTTTTTTTTTTTTTTTGCTAAAATAGTTGATTAGCAGTTTTTTTTAGTCTTTTATTGCAATGTAATTCTCTTTATTAAAAAATCTTCCAAAAATAAAATATACTTTTGTGAAACTTTATTTGAGGAATATTAGCTGATTTAAAGTATAATTAATCTTATTTGAAACATATATTATTTACTTGAAGTTGTTTAAAATATTGCAAAAATGCATTTTTTTAATCCAACAGTATCTGTTTATTTAAAACTTCACAGATTTGACAGATTGATATTTACCTAATGTTGTTCTATGGAGGCTTAAGGTGTTAAAAATGTAATTGAATAAATGTGAGCACCTTTCTATATATAATATTTAAGTACTTAGTAATCTTAAAAATTTTAAATAGTCTCCATAATCTTTGTTTTATTGAATTTTAAATATTTTTTGGCTGTAAACTTACTATAGTTAAAGTGTGATGATTTGTACTAATAATTTCAATTTATGA